AGTGTATGGATGGGCTAGCAGGTGGCGTGATGGTTAAGATGCTGGATCCCCACATGGCCAACTGTGATTTGAGTCCTAGATCTGGTGGCTTGAAAATCACACTGGGTGACTGCTCACATGCCCAAAATCCTGAAAGAACAATGGAGGAGAAGAGATTGAGACATGGCCACCTCCCAGGGTGTGATTTCTCAATCCCCTCTCTGTCTCTCTCCAGCAAGCACACTCACCCTATGGCAAAAACCTAAAACAAAAAGTTTATGGAAAATGGAGTTAGAATACAAGTTTGTTTTGGTGCAGAAAAGCTTTGAAATGCATGCATAGCTTTTTCATAAATGTTTTCCATGACCTTTTTGAAGTCCTTCTTGTATACACAAAACTTATTTTTAAAAAGCAGCATAGACTAGGTAGCAATGCCTTAGAACCTGAACACTGCTATGAAGACAGTTGAAAAGACAACCTTGAAGTCATTCATTTCCTGGCTAATAATAACAGAGCTGGTAGGACTTCACGCGGTGGTCACGAGGTCATTCCCTGGTTCTCAGCTGTCACCCAGAACAGACTTGGTCCTGATTGGAGGAGGCAAGAAAATCCGTTCAAGTACAGCCCCCAGCCCCACCCCCTTGTCCAGCCTTGGCTTGGCTCTGCCTTTGTGAGGAGCAGGGGCAGATGTGGAGGCCAGTTCAGTCTGCTATACATCTCCTTTCTGCCCCTCCAGAGAAAAGGAGTGGAGTGATTCTCACTTCCCTAAGCTGCCCTGGAGGGAGGGAGACCACACTCAGAGGTGCCTTGAGCGTCTTTGGGAGAAAAGACAGTCCTGGGAATCACCTTCCCCCTTTGTCCTTTGACTTTGGTGTGGCCTGCTCTCTAAGCATGTGCTGAGCTATTTTTAGCAGGTGGCATCCCGTAGGATGACCAGGTGCATGTGGCTTCACAGTGCATGGGACAAGTCCTGCTGCCAAAGCTGCTGCTGCTGCCTAATTAGGGAAGGGAAGAGAGCAAAGCCACCTTAGAAAAGGCTGTGGGGTATGTGGAGGTGGTGACTGCTCTGGCTCCCTTTTGTATTCTGGGTCCTACCACAGTAGGAGCTCACCCCTGCTTCCTGGGCCAGGCAGGCATGTGACTGAGGCAGCCCGGCGAGCTGGGGGACTGGAGGTCAAGACTACCTGCCTTGAGGAATGAAGACCTCCTTCTTGCCCCTTCAGCCAATTTCTCATACCACATCACCCCATTTTCATATAAAGTTGTCTGACTTAAGGGCTGGCCACTAAATGGACACTAAAAACTAAAACTGTGGATTAGCTGGCAGTCTGAGTATTGGTGTCACCTGGCTTAAACCAAAATATACACATGACAGTAGGTTAAGCATGGCCCTAGTAGGGATTCTTTACTGGGGAGCCATTCAGGCTGGAGAAGGATGAAAAGGGAGTTTGACAAAGTTTGTCTGTTCCCCACACTGTCCTTCTCTCCTTGTTTTGGTTCCTCCTTCCCTCTAACTTGGAGCTGCCAACTCCAGCCCATCTCTCTGTTTTTGATTAAGAAAGCTTCGGGCCATATAAGGCACTCTGTTGCCTATGGTTTATGTTGGCTGGAGAGCAAGGTTGTTTTCTCAAAGTCTGATTCAAAGAAGTGGCCAGGGCTTATGTGGGGTTGCATGTGCATGAGTCCCCGCCTCCTGGAGCTGGACCGCCTAATTGGAACAGATTCATTTGGGAAGGTGGGGGCTGAAGGGAGGGGTATAGCAGTGGCTCCCTAAAGCGAATGTGTGGTGTGGCTGCAGGGCTTCCAGGTGAGTGGTTTTGCTGAGTACTCCAAAGACAAAGTGAGTCCCTGTTTTTCCACAGTGTACCTGCCCTGCAACCAGCTACAGAGGCACCCTGTTTCGGTAATCAGTTCGGGAAGCAGCTTCTCTTACTGAGAACTAAAGTCCCTTAGTTCCTTGGGCAAGTCAGTTTCCCCTCTGGAGGAAGTTTGTGGCCCTAGTCCTCTAAGTTACCAAGTCCAAATCTACCTCCAGCGCTGCTCTGCCTGGTGATACTGGACAGCCATTTCTCTGGTCAAGATACGATGAGGTCGTATCTTGACCTCATCTTTGATTCCCCTTCTTGCTGTCTCTGGAGTCAGCCAAGCTTGTTTCTGCCTTAGGAGTTGGCATGTGTTCTCCTTGCCTGGAACTTTCTCTCCTTCCCCTGCCACCTCCCTCCTCCCCCATCTTGGCACCTCCGCTCACTGTTTGGCTTCACCGCCTCTTCCCAGAGGAATTCCTGCACTGTCCTGAAGTGTCCAGCATTTCTTTTCTAACCCATGTGCACTGTGTCCAGTTTTTCTTTTCTAACCCAGCACACAAAGAAAAGGACTGAGTCACCGGCCCAGCTGTCCCAGCTATTATGTCTGCATGTATAAGAGTGTAGTGAATTCATTATAGGAAAGGAATGGATGCCTCAGGGATCAGTTCTCTCATCTTGAGTGAGTCTGTAGATCTATTGCATTAGGCGGCTGAATCTTCCTTGCAGTATCTTATCTGGAATTTGACTCTCTACCAGTCCCTCTTCCTTTGCTTTCTAAAGACTCTTGTGTTTTCCAGGGAACCTGGCTCACAGTGGGAATTAAAAATCTTTATTAATGACTAACCCCAAGGGGTCTTCCTACCTGATTTCTATGTGGAGTAGGGATACCAAGGCTTTGGTTTCTCAGGAGACTATCAATAAGCATGTCTCTTTTTGCTTATTACTGGTACATCAGCAGGGCAATTGGGGGTCTCCAAAGCAAAATCTGTATCAATTATTATGGGACGATAAAGCATTATAGGTTGGTACATGGTTGAGTTGACACTAATGTATATTATTATGATGGTTAAAAACACCTAAAGCTATATGTTTGTAGAAAGCTTTAGAATGCATTAATTTTTTTTAAACATCGCTAATTTAGATACCCAAACTGGCTAATTTTTTAAAGAATTATTTATTTAATTTTATTTATTCTTTCATTTATTTTAATTTGACCAGAGACCGAGAGAGGGAAAGTGAGGAAGCAAGCCACCAGGTCCAAGACTTGAGCTGTGGTCAGCCATGTGGGAGTGTCCAGTGCCTTAACCACAATGCCACCTGCTGGCCCTAAGAATGCATTAATTAAAAAAAAAAAAATTGTCAGAGGGTGTGTGCACTTGCCAGAGAGAGAGAGA